TTTTGTTCATTTTGTGTTTTGAGATTGGGAGAGACTTAACTAACCACTTTTATAGGGGAGGAGAAGTTGCCTGGGGAAAAAAAAAAAAGTTTGAATATGTGTGTGTATGTGTGTGTGTGATAGAGAGAGAGAGAGAGAGAGAGAGAGAGAGAGAGAGAGAGAGATTTAAGTTCCCAAAGGCAAGGGAAAGAAATGCTGTTTATGTCCAGATGAAGGAGTTAATTAACAGAAAAAGAGCAATTTCTTTTATTTTCATTTCAACATGTTTTACTTGTTCAGTCTTTGGTGCCTCTTTTTCTTTAGTTCAGGGGTACTGATGAGAGTCCCATGGAGTATCTGACTACTCTAGGTAACATCATTTTGCCAGTGGCCTGATTTTTCAAAAGAATGAAAAAGTTACATGTATTAAATATAAAGGTTTTTTTTTTTCCTTTTTTTTTTTAAGATTTACTTTTATTTATACAAGCACTGGGTACAGTCAGAAGCGCGGGAGGGTGAGTGAGAGAATTCACCAGAGCCAGAGCGGGGAGCAGAGCAGGCAGAAGGACCGAAGTACACTGCTGAGGGGAGCAGCGGGCGGCAGGAGAGGTCTGCGCGCCATGTGGGACCCTCCTCCAGTGGCCGGGGAGCAGCCGGGGATCGAACTGGTGCTGCAGAGGCTGCGGGCAGCTTCACAGCCCAGCGCTCAACTGCTGCACCACCGGGGAGGCCCTAAAGATGTTTTTTGAGGATTAAAAAAATTATTCTTCATACTGTGCTGAAAACTGGAGTAGGATCAAGAAATGTCTTTATTTGATGGATGTGTTCATTTACCTTATTGTGACAATCACTTCCCTGTGCATATGTCTGTTAGATCATCACTATGTATACTCTAAATGTATACAATGTTATATGTCAGTTACATCTCAATAAAGCTCAGGGGATGGGGAGAGAAACTAGTTTAGTGCTTGCCTGGGTGGGGGAGAGATGAGAAGATTAGGAATGATGGCGTGTATAACTAAATATACGGGATTTCTTTATGGAATGATGAAAATATTCTAAAATGGATTATGGAGTAGTTGCAAACTGAATATTTTAGAAATCATTGAATTAGATACTTTAACTGGGTGAATTGCGTGGCATGTAAATTATATGCTATGTTGATTTTAATCTTAAATATAAAGCTGTTCCTCACCACCAATAAGTTAGAAGATACATCCATTTATCTTTTAGTTCTCAGAATTTTGTGACTCCAAAATTCTAGCATATTTGACCTAAAGTGCAATTAATTCAGTTTTTGTAGTAAAATGTCTTAGATGTATATTAACTTATGTATCTGGAAGAAAAGGGAACAACAGCTCAACATAAGGTAGTGATCAAGAGGCATCAAATTGTTTGAAGGGTTAGATGAGATTTAGATTAAAAAAAAACAATATTCAAGTGCCTAAGTGGTTGGAGGAAAATTACTCAAAGAAACAGAGTCTATTCTCAATAATCGCAATATATTTAAAAGTTCTATTATAGATTTTAAAAATTATGACATTTATTTGGAACTACAGCAGATCTTAACTAGCAAAACCACTCCTGAGAAAAAAGAATGGAGGTATCACACTTCCAGACTTCAAACAATATTACAAAGCTATAGTGATTAAAACAGTTTGGTATTGGAATAAAAACAGATATAGATTGATAGAACAAAATGAGAGCCCAGAAATTGAACTACACAAATAGGGGCAAAAAATTTATGACAAAGAAGCCAAAAGCTTACATTGGAGCAAAGAAAGTCTGTTCAACAAATGGTCTTGGGAAAACTGGACAGCCTCTTTCAAAAGAATTGAAGTACTGGACTATTTCACACCATACACGAAAATAACCCAAAATAGGTTAAAGACTGGGATGTAAGTCCTGAAATCATACAATACATAGAGGGAAGCAGAGGTGATATACACCTTCACATGATCCTTAGAGATGAGTTTGGAGACTGAACTTCAGCAGCAAGGGAAACAAAATCAAAATAAATAAATGGAACTACATCAAACTAAAACACTTATGCACAGCAAACAAAACTGCATTAAAAACAAGAAGACATTCTACCAAATGGGAGAAGATATTTGTACACCATATTTGTGGCAGGAATTGATATACAAATATACAAAACACTCATAAAACTTAGCAATAAAAAACAACCAAGTTAAAATATCCCTAGAGAATCTGAATAGACACTGGTCCAAAGAAGACATACAGATAGCCAATGGACACATAAAAAGATGTCTATAATCTTGTTATTAGAGAAATGAAAATCAAAACAGCTTTAAAATGCAATCATTTCACAACGGTGAGAATGGCCATTATCCAAAAGATAAGAAGCCACGAGTATGAGAGAAGACCTAGAGACAAGGGAACCCTTACGTACTGTTGGTGAGAATGTAAATTGGAGCGGCCATTGTGTAAAGCAGTATGGATATATCTCAAATAATTGAAAATAGAATGCCATATGACCCTGTTTCCTCATTCTGGAAATTTATCCCCCAAATACATAGGCACTAATTAGAAAAGATGTATGTATCCCCATATTTATTGCAGCATTATTTATAATAGTTAAGTATTATAAATAACCTAAGTCACCGTGAACTGAAAAATAAAAATAATGTGATATACAGACACACACACACACACACACACACACACACACTATTCAGCTCTAAATACTATTCAGCTCTAAAAAAGATGAAATCCTGACAGTTTTAACAGTGTGGATAGACCGTCAGTGTATTATGCTAAATGAAATAAACCAGAGAGAGAGAGACAAACACCATATGATTTCACTCATATGTGGTATAAAGAGACAACAAACAAACAAACAAACAGACTGCATTTATGGTTACTGTATAATACTTTCAGTTCAACTAATATTGTTATGGTTAGAGATTATGCCATTCATTGTCTTAAGAATATGACCCATTGCTGACTCAAGTATTGAGAAGGGGAGAAAGACTCGTGAATACATAGTTAAAATACTGTGGAGTGAACAGCAATAGAGGTTTGCAAAGTAGAGAAATTGCATAGAAAAGGGTCAAGAACAACTTTCCAATGGATGGGAAAGTGAACCAGCTTAAACAGTGATACAATTTCATCATCAGAGGTTGTTTGAGAGTGGTAAGAGAAGTGTGTAATGCTCAAGATGTGGAATATGCTTGTTCAGAGAATTATAAACAGTTCAGTGTTTGACCTTGTAGATCTACTGAGGGTAGTTTAAAAATCACTGTTTTGAGGAAGCAGAAAGCTTTTGTTAAGGACCCTAATTATATATTGCTTTACCCATACTACATCCTTTTTTGGATTTAGTGTGCTCCATTTATAGATCCATTTTTGGATGCAATGTGATAAAATTAATGAAGTCAAGTCCAAGGCAGAATTTTGTTATTTTTCTGTAACCTTTTACCCTTTTCAGTCTAATGAATCTTAAGTTATCTAGCCTGTATTTTCTCTATTTTCCATAATTTCTCACATTATTGATAAACTCTAAAGGCATACTTTTTTTTTAATTGGAATCTGAGAAGGGAAGTTAGACTATCACTGGGACCCATTCTCTATATCCTGGCAGACTTAGGTAGAGGGAAAGAAAGTACAGAGTCTGGGGTCTGGACTCCATCAAAATGTAAAACTATGGACACTGATGACCAGTCCCTGGAGGCTTGCTGAAAATGGTAAAGAATTATCTCTTGAAAAAATCAACACTTCAAGATTTATCTCCATTTGGGAATACATGAAACTAAAAATAGTCTCTTGAGTTTCTCTACCTTTTATTCATCAAACACACCATTTGTCTTCTCTTTCCTTTCTCATCTGCTCTGGCAGTTCAGCCTCATTTGATTCTAAACACAGACTGACATATCTGGGTCCTAAAAAATCTAAGTCTTTGTTTTCCTTAAGATATCTGTAGAATTTCACTGTTCATTCTACCTCCACCCAGTTCTGTCATTTCTATGTAAGCATCTTGTTCATCATCTAACTTAAGGCTCTTCTTTTTCACTCTGTCCTATGTCACAGTGCCTGATTACTTTTTTTTTTAAAGATTTATTTATTTATCTATTCATTTATTTATTTATTCAAGCACTGGGTACAGTCAGAAGTGCGGGAGGGTGAGAGAATTCACCAGAGTCTGCAGAGCAGGCAGAAGGACCGAAGTACACTGCTGAGGGGAGCAGCTGGCAGTAGGAGAGGTCTGCGCGCCATGTGGGACCCTCCTCTGGTGTTCGGGGAGCAGCTGGGGATAGAACTGGCACTGCAGAGGCTGCTTCGCAACCCAGCGCTCAACCGCTGCGCCACCGGGGAGGCCCGCCTGATTACTTTTTTCCAACATTGCTGTTATCATGAAACTCCTTTGCTCAACAATTATCAGTGATACCTTAATTTGTACCACTCTTCCTCCACTTTTTCATGAACCCTTAATTTGAAATATTTGACACTATCTAGTTCTGGCTCTTTCCTCACAGCCCTGTGAACATAGTCCACATATTTCTTCTGTACTTGCCTTCATGTTTTATTTTCCACCTAGAATGTCCTATTTTTCCCCCTTTCATCTAAATCCGATGGAATCTTCAAAACTCAATTCAAAAACAATCCCTAGAAAAGGATTTTCCCTGACTGATCTGACTTTATTGATTTCCCTGTTAGGTGAAATACAGTAGTATTTGAAGCTTGTATCACAGTTTGGTGTTTCACTATGTACCATTGTAAATTGTTTATTTTTGTTTCAGTTATGCTCATTCTTTTTCTCCAAGTAGACTAAATTTCTGAGAACCTGTTAAAATTTCACTCTGGGAAATACTCCTTGTGTTAGTCTACTACCTATGATTTTTCCAAAATTATTTCCTCAGTGACTTCTGTTCTGGCTAAATTGGTTTGATCTTATGTCTGGGCATGAATTCAAGTATAATAAGTAATATAAGCATATTATTTCCAAGTATAGTATGATAGTGCATGTATTTGCTCTGAATTTGTCAAACTTTGTCTTACAGCTATTTCTTCATTTGAAGTCCAGCCAATTTCTACTGAGGTCCAAGAAGGTGGAGTTGCTAGATTTGCTTGTAAGATTTCATCAAACCCTCCTGTAGTTATAACTTGGGAATTAAATCGGACAACCCTCCCTGTAACTGTGGATAGGTAATGCAGCTTTTGTCTTTGGGGACAAATTAATACAGGAATAACAAGGACATCATCATGAGATTACATGGTGGTGGGCGTGGTATTTACTATACATTTGAAGAGGTATGACCCTATAAATCTAAGTCATATACAGGTAAACTCTTACCTCAATAAAAAAAAATATACATTTTTTTAAAAAAAGAAAAGGCAATTAGTGAATGGTTTCTCTGATATAAGGATTATAAATAATCAGAACAAACTAACACAACACAGCAAAAGTAACTCTTTGAAAAAGAGGAGTAGAGTAGAAACAGGTGGGAAAAACCAGTTTGGGGGGGCATCAATTTTACAGAGGGAGTGACACTAGAAATTTGGTATTTGGTGTGGTGAGGCATATACACATGTCAAGGTGTATAACTGTACTCCTGAAATTAGAGTGTTGTAAACCTGTGGTAAATCAATAAAACTATTTAAAAAATAAATAAATAAAATGGTAGAGCATTAAGGTGGAAGAAACTATTCAAGGAAGTACTTTTATATTTTAATCTGAATTAAACATTTTTATCAGTATAAACTTACAAGTAAACACTTAAAAACTTATATAAATATAAACTTACATGAAGAAAATCTTGGAAAATACACAGAATAAATAGGCAGGAGATCAAGTATTTGGAAAAAAAATATAGTTCTTGGATGCCAGCAAACTGAATCTAAGCTATTCTGTTGAATGAGAGACTTTCATATTGCTTAATTAATTTGTCTCATCAGAGAACTATAATGATGCAAATAAAAACAATTGAATCAAGCCAATATTTAAAAGGACTGTAAAGTATTTGACACTTTAACATGGTTGAGTATATTAATTTTTATTACAGAATGTATGCCAAAATAAAATAACAAAACCTTCTGTGAAGAATTTCATTATCTTTTTTATCAAAACAGGATAACCGCTCTACCAACTGGAGTATTGCAGATCTATGACATTGGCCAAAAGGATGCTGGAAATTATCGCTGTGTGGCTACTGCTGTAGCCCACAGACGTAAAAGTATGGAAGCCTCTCTAACAGTGATTCCAGGTACCACACTATATTGATTTTTTGGCTTTTAATGACATAGGTATTTATTTTTCTTGTCTGAATATAATGCATGCCATAAAGTAGTACTTGAATTTCATTTAAATTATTGTATTCTATTTGTAAAAATTCTATTTTAATCTATTAAGTAACTTGTTTCATAGGTTTACTTGTTATGATAATGCCAGTACCTTTAAGAAATATTAAATTTGCTTTGTAAATATTTCACTTTTGTTTTTAAAATATAATTTACAAAAAGAGAAAAAGTCATCCATTTCTACCAGAGTTGCCCATTGTCAATAATGATTAATTTGTTTCCAGTGGGTCATTTTTTATTTGTTTTATGAAAAATTATGATTTTCATTTGTAAAAACGATCTATGTTTATTATAAAGATAGTATCTGTAAAAGGAAAAAAAGTATTAAAAACATTATATTAAACACTGTAAGGAAGCAAAAAGATATGTTTAAAACTATAACCCCCAACTCTTAACTCTGAAGATTTAATGGTTTGTGGTAGATGGTGACTAAGTATTTAGTGGTGGGCATGGTGAAATAAAAGCAGTTGCCGAGGTGAGAAAATATACCTCTGGAACCTATACAATGTTGTAAATTCATGTTACTTTAATAAAAAGAAAAAAAAACTAATATCCCCAATTCTAATCTCCAGAAATTATTACTAATAACAATAAGTGAACATTATGTTATGAATTTTGCCATGCGTACATATATACAGACACACATATGTAGCAGGGGAAAAAATTAGAGAGATGACTATGAAGAAATGAACACATATATTATTAACATGAAATTGTATGAAGGTGCTAGTTTTTAATTTTTAAGTAATTTGAATTTACTTGAATGTAGTAGAAAACTTGGAATAAAGATGTAGCTGAACTTCACATGAATGTTTACTCTTCACAAGAAACAATACTTCCTAAATATACTGTAAGGTTAAAAAAAATTTCTGAAACCATGAAGAGACTGAAATTATATTTTTCATGCTGTTTTAATTTTAGGTAGTACCCATTAGCTTCCTGAAGTGAAAGATAAAGAAAAGACATACTCAAACTTTCCCCTTTCCCTTCTGTTACAGAATTTCTTAACAAGATTAGTGAAAGTATTAATCGAATGTTTGAACCTCAACTCAAAGTGCATTATATGGAAACAATCTAAATGTCCATCAACTGATGAATAGAAAAATAACGTGTCCTACCCATATAATTAAACATTATACCATTGTTGTTGAATAATGAATGAAATACTGATATACACTATAGCATTGATGAACCTTGAAAACATGCCAAAGGGAAAAAAAACCTGTCTCCAAAGACCATATAATGTATGGTTCCTTTTTTATGAAATGTCTTGAATAAGAAAATCCAAAGAGAGAGGAAGTAGATTAGTGGTTAGCCTGTGGGTAGAGGAGATTGGGGAATAACTGTTAATGGTATGAGGTTTCTTTTGGGGTGTGATGAAAATGTTCTAAATTGATTAATCATTACGTAACTCTTAAAATACTAAAAGCTGTTACACTACACTCTTCAAATGGGTGAATTGTATAGGTTATATGAGTTACGTAACTGAATAGAGTTGTCTTTAAAAAAGAAAGAATTTATTAATAGATATTTTAACTCATTTTATTCATTATATCTTATTTATAATTTGGTTTTATGTTCTGCCTTTTCCTCCCTAAAGCTAAGGAGTCTGAATCCTTCCATGCACCAACCATTATAGCAGGCCCACAGAACATAACGACATCTCTTCATCAGACTGTTGTTTTGGAATGTGTGGCAACAGGAAATCCTAAGCCAATCATTTCTTGGAGTCGTCTTGGTAAGTCTTCTAAGGGAAAAAAGAGTTCTATCCTTAAATTTGGTTCATTCTAATGAAACTAATAAAGTGCTTATTTATTTATTTGTTTGTTTGTTTGTTTGTTTATTTATTTAAAATATTTATTTATTTATGCATACAAGAGCTGGGGTACAGGCCAGAGGTGGGGCAGGGGGTGAGAGGATTCACCAGAGACAGAGTGGGAAACAGAACAGGCAAGCTGAAACATACTGCTGAGGAGAGCAACGGGCGAGACAGGAGAGGTCTGCTTCACCATGTGGGTCTCTCCTGGCCAGCTGGGGATTGAACTTGTGGTGCAGAGGCTGCGGATTGCTTCATAAAGCATTGCTTAACCCCTTGCACCCCCCAGGGAGGCCCTAAAGTACTTATTTTTTATACAAAAATTTGTTTGCCAGTTTGGTGGCTTTTAACCTTTCCGCAGTTCAGTGTGTAGAGAAAAGATTTCAGCTGCGAGAATTTTATGTGTTTTACGATAAGACTTGATAGCAATGTTTTGACAGTTTTAGAGCACATGCTACATTTTTCTAACAAGTATTCTCTTTGAAATAGATCACAAATCCATTGATGTCTTTAATACTCGGGTACTTGGAAATGGTAATCTCATGATATCTGATGTCAGACTTCAGCATGCTGGAGTGTACGTCTGTCGGGCAACTACTCCTGGCACACGCAACTTTACAGTTGCTATGGCTACTTTAACTGTGTTAGGTATGTTTTCTGTCATTCTGCACTCAGAGGAATCTTACATTTTAACATTTGCTGTTTTATCTCATTCATAGCTTACTTCCACCTTTCTTTAATTTTGTAGCATTGATAAGAAGTACTGTAGCATGATGATGAGTTTTCTGAGAAAATTAAAGACATATGTTACAATGTAACTGTCATTCTGAAATTGCTATCCTGTTTGCCTACATAGCACTCAGTTCCTTTTTTGTATTATGTCCCTTTTAATTTAAGATTCCCTTTTATTTCCTCATCTACTCAGAAATTCGTATACCCATTATACAACCTAAAATTTCAGTCTGTTGATTGGGTCTGTGTGCATTAACAAATGACTGTCTATTAGGGTTTAGTTAAGTAGGGTTAGGGTACACATAATTTTAGTGTGTTTATTTGCATAGTCTTGATAAGAAAGGCCTGTAGGGAATGGATATCTGAGTAATGCAGAGACCGGGCATCTGGATAAATGTATGTAGAGTTTGGATAAAGGACACAGAATGCCAAATACTTTCAGGTATGGTGCTTGTACTGTCATTTGCTGTATTCATCCTTGATTCTTTATATTGCTACTATTGGGACCATAGAAATTATATATATATATTTTTTTCTTTAAAATTAGCGCCTCCTTCATTTGTTGAATTGCCGGAAAGTTTAACCAGGCCTCGAGCTGGCACTGCTCGATTTGTATGTCAGGCAGAAGGTATCCCCTCACCCAAAATGTCATGGCTGAAGAATGGAAGAAAGATACATTCAAATGGTAGAATTAAAATGTACAACAGGTAGGCTATGTCACTTTGTTACTATTTTAGATAAGATATGGCTTTAGTAATTTTTATGTAAAATGATTATAATTTTAATATCAAATACCTGAATTATTTTTGTACTTTAAATAAAAATGAATTTAAAAAGTAACTTATGATTATAGCATCAGCACACCATAAATCCTTTTATATTTTATTTGTTGATCATAGAAATGATAGATTATAATGAAATTAATGTTAGGCAGTTTCTCAGACCTGGTTTCTAGTCCTAGTTAAGACAGTTTCTCAGTCCTGGTTTCTAGTCCTAGTTAAGTTAACAGCAAGCATATTAAACCTTTGGAGTTACAGTTCCTTCATTCACAGAATGATGAAAATAAAAAGAAACAATTGATTCTCTAACAATTCCTCCACAGTTCAAACTTGGTGACTTTAAGTATTCACTTTTAGTATTATAAATATGAATCAACATTCTTGTTTATGTTGAATAAAACTTTGAAAATTTTTGTTGACCTGAACTTTGAACATTACAGTATTATATAAGTTAAATGTTATTATGGAGTAATATCTTTCTTAATAAAGGCCAAATTTTTAAAAAAGATTTAGTTGTCACCTAAAGTATACAGAATTTTCATATCACAAGTGTTTGTTTACAGAAAATAATTTAATTCATTTAGATATTTCAGTAGGACTGATGCCACAGTTTTTATTCCTAATAACTTGCAATTTAACATGAGAATGCACTTATCAGTAATTTAACCTTATTTTTATGTTGTTAGGATTTTTCATGGAAATATATTTTTTCTTTCCTCAGTAAACTGGTAATTAACCAGATTATTCCTGAAGATGATGCCATTTATCAGTGCATGGCTGAGAACAGTCAAGGATCTATTTTATCTAGAGCCAGATTGACGGTAGTAATGTCAGAAGACAGACCCAGTGCTCCCTATAATGTACATGCTGAAACCATGTCAAGTTCAGCCATTCTTTTAGCTTGGGAGAGGCCACTTTATAATTCAGACAAAGTCATTGCTTATTCTGTGCACTACATGAAAGCAGAAGGTAAGCAATTTAAGGAGTGTTTACTTTTAAATGCTGATTGCTATCAATAATTTGTTTTCAGTATGAGTGATGTCTCATATGGTCCACAAAATATTTTTGAAGTTCTATGACATTTGTCATTTAGTAAAATAATGTATCACCTCTGTTATCTTTTTTCCCTAAAGTTTGTATTATTGTTCACTTTGCATATGTAAATACAATTTAAGATTTTTCTTTCTAGAAGCAAGTACCGTATCTGCCTGATAAAAATTAAAGTGGTGTCCTTATGAATTTTATTCCAGGCAAGATAACTAAAACTTAATATACTAATTTAATTATGTTGTTACATAGGAATAATGGTGTAATTACTTAATATCATAAGTTATAGTCACTCTAGCATATTATTTTTAAGGGGGAAATAAACATTACAAAATACCCCATACCTGATTTTATATATTTTGAATATTTTCTGAAATCACATAGAATTCTTTGAAAATTGAACAGGATGCTCTTTGTTGGTAGCTCATTTATTATATAAAAGTAGAAATCAAATCTGTCTTAAAGTCTTTACTGAGAACTATTATTTCTATGTCTGGAATCTTTTTTATCATGTTGTCTTTTGGCAAAAATTTTAAAGGAAAAGGGAAAATTACTCACAAATCCTAGAGGTTTCTGTGTTGATTTTTCTTAGAAACCATAGTAGAGTTTTACAAATTTAATTTCTCTATACAAATAGCCTGACTTCATGCAGTATACTTTAAAAACAAATTCAAACATCCAAAGAATGGTGACATAATAAAATTGTCTGTAGAAACAGGTGGTTTGTTGTTGTTTGTTTTTTGTACTTTGAAGTAGTACTTTGAAAAGGAATATTTTGAATTTAAATCAAGGGTCATGGTAGCAAGAAGAATGAAAGTCTGATAACTGAGCATGTTGGAGTATGTTAATACCCTTTTTAGTGATTTAGGACGGTAAAAGGAATGCTGGTTTTGATGGAGACCACTCTTGTTCGCTATTATGGTTATTTCATTAGAGCCTCCACATGCGGCTCAGTGGTCTATTCAAGAACAGAACAAGGCTTTTTAATTCGAACTCAAGGACCTTGTTTGGTAGGTCAGAAATCGTACTATGCGGTTCCTAATTAACGAGCCATTAGCCAGTCTGTTGTGAAATGCCTGTAATCTTGTCTAATTAAAATGCTATCAAGTTAATTCAGAAATGTGGGAAAACTTAATAGTGGAATTTGCCTTCTGTTTTGTTTATAAATCCAGTGTGGAGAGAAGGGGCTTCATCCTTAGAGAGTTTTGATTAAGTTGACATGCATTTACTGTGAATTGTTCGTAAAGCACAGTAGCTGCCAGTGCTCTTGTTCCACTTTACAGGTTTGCTCTGTAGGAATTAAATCCCACAAAGACAAATCCCCTTCTATACCTTGCCATGCATATTTTATTAAGAATTGCTGAGAATTTTTTTCTTCTTTGAGAAAAAAGCTCTTTGTGGAACAAAGCAGTTTTTAAGCACATTCTGTGCCTCCCAGTTCTTTTACTTTCAGTATAAATAAAAGAACAACTTGTGTCAGTCAAATTTAATAGAATCTCTAGGGGCAAAATGAGATCTTTTGCAGGGCAACTTTTGATTTGGTTTATTTTTACAAAGAGTGGAGCCATTACATTACCTACTGTCTCTCCGTTTATGTTTAAAAGAAAAAAGAGACCATGAGTTTAAGCAAGCAAATTTCACACTGTTATGAATTACAATAATCTGGAGGGTTAAATTCTGTTGTGTTACTGCTGTACATTGTCACTGCTGTAGGGTTTGACTCAGTGTTAAATGACATTTAGAGGACATTAATTAGTTTCACTTAGTTCAGTGGGAAATTTCAATTTTCAGGAAAAAATGCAAACTGGGAATCTGTAGCAAGACATGGTTTCTTATAGAAAATAAAGCCTTCCTATTCATAGTTTTTAAAGAGGCACAAAAGATAACATAAAGATTAGAGCCAAGGGCCAGTATTTCATAGTGAGAGAAATGGTCTTGTTGATTTTATTTTGAATACTCATACTTTTTAAACAATGGTTCTTTAATACAGGTTTAAATAACGAAGAGTATCAAGTTGTCATCGGAAATGATACAACTCATTATATAATTGATGATTTAGAACCTGCCAGCAATTATACTTTCTACATTGTGGCATATATGCCAATGGGAGCCAGCCAGATGTCTGACCATGTGACACAGAACACTTTAGAGGATGGTAAGAAAACACAATTCTAGGTCATTTTTAAGAATGAACACTAATATAGTTAATCGATTTCAATGAATAAATTTATTTTAAATTAAAGAACATACCCTCTTTTTGGTTTAAAAAAAAAAACAGGTGTGGTAACAAACTGACTAAGTGGCCATTTCAAACCTGTTACTTTTTGGGTAGTAACATAAGAATAAAGTACATTATATTAATGTAATTAATATAATTCATTATATTAATTTTATAGTAAATTAATAATTTACTGTAATTCATTATATTAAATTATTATATTAATTTTAACAGTAAAATTATATTATCACTGTATTTAAGATTCCTAGTTTAAATAGTAAATATATTGCACTTTTTTTTAACTGAGTAGGAGACAATGTAAAAGTCTTTATGCATGAGTTAAATATTGTAACAGTTTCATACTGAGTATATACATACTGAATATATAGTGACCTACAGTCATAACTGTAGGTCAGAGATATTGGACTTCTGAAATTGAAACTTAGTACCTGTCAGCTAATAAGTTCTTAGAAAATCAAATACCAATTATGTTATTTTTGGATATAATATGCTTGTTCTTCTTAAGGGGGAAAATATTACTTGTTTGGTTAATTACCTGACCATAGATTTCAAAATGAATTGTCCCTTTGAAAGCAGGCTCTTATAAGGCTGGGAATCCATCAAGGTTGTCCTAGACAACTGTTTCTGTTCTTCTAACTCATTATCTTTCTCTTTCTTTAGGACTCTAGAAGATTCACTTTGTTTCTTGCAATTTGAAGGGGAATTATTTAACATATGCTTAACTATATTATTCTCCCTTTACAAATGGTTTCTTATTCTCAGGAAATAATTCATTCTTAGTTTTCAAAGAATTCTTCTATAAAATATTCCCAAATCTTTTTCTTTGTTTATTTTGTCCCAGATTGCTTAGTTATATTTATATAACTTATTTAGATGTTTATAAGTTTAGGGTTTGACAAATGAAAAAATTAGCACTTACCTGAATCCTGAATTTGAATATCGGTTTTCATCTAAGAGTCCATTGTATTTTTGAATGAACCACATTATATATGACATCCATAGTTATCTCATTACATTTAATAACCTCTGATATGCATATCTAAATTGATTATAGGCTGGGTTTGTCCTGTTTTTCGTATGTGAAGTACATTCCCCCTATTTTTTTAAAAAGATTATTTTTACTTATGAATGCAAGAACTGGGGTGTAGGCCAGAGGTGTGCAGGGGGCTGGGACTGAGAGATTCACCAGAGACAGAGAGGGGAGCAGAACAGGTAGATCTACTGAAATACACTGCTCAGGGGAGCAGCAGGCAAGACAGGAGAGGTCTGCTGCACCGTGTGGATTAGTTCCCTGGCTGGGGATTGAACTCATGCTGCAGTAGCTGAGGATAGCTTGATACTGCTGACTTTAACCCCTGTACTACTAGGGAGGCCCCCCTGTGTTCCTGAAGAAAATTAGTCTAAGTGTAGCAAGTTATGATCTCAGAGGTTTTCTCCTTTAAATCTTTCCTTACTGTGCATTTTTTTTTTTATTTGATGAAGTTTCTTTTCGCTATCTGGATAATGTGCAGGCCTCAGTGCTTTCAAATATCTGCACCAGCCCTCCTCCCCACCTGGTGCATTTCCTACAGCTCTACAGTACATTTCATACTTCTCAAACTGAGATATGTGGGGCTTCTAGAGTACACAGCAGATACAACTAACACTGTGGAATGATTATCCTGCCTGTTCTAAAAATCTTCCTGATATGACATTTACTTAATCCCTACAGAACCTTATGATAAAAGAATTACTATTATAAAAGATTTGGAACATAAGGATAAGAATGTGGGCTCTATATGATGTGAGCTACTTCACTTACAAGCCTTGTGGTCTTAGGCGAGTGCTTTTACCTCTGTGACTCAGTTGCCTCACTTGTGAAGTAGAAATGGTAATGGTACTTCCGTTGAGTTAATGAGTTCAGAGACATAAGGACTCAGACATTCTTAATAAATTGATTTTTCTCTCTCCCACTGATTCATTCATTCAACAATTATTTATTGAATATCTGTTATGTCCTATTCAATATTTAATAGTGAACAAAAGATACAAAAATTGTCCCTGACTTCATAGAACTTTCTGGTGGGAAAGGAGGCAGAGGAGCTATATGATAAACAGTTATACACTGTGTTAGCTAGTGATAAGTCTAGAGGAGAAGGGGGAAAAAGTAGGGAATGGAAGTATGAAGTGTTGAAAGTATTTGGTGCTTCAGTTACCAGAGAAGGGCTCACTGAGTGACATTTGAATGACAACTTCTAGAAAATGAAAATAAGGGAACTAACTAGGTAGATGACTGGGAAGAAGTAGTGCACTCTAGGCAGTGGAAATGGACACTAAGTGCCTGAAGCACTGGCATGGCTGGAATGGAGGGAACCAGAGGAAACAACAGGTGATAAGGGAAAGAAATACTGAGTAGCTGGAAAGGGAAATACAGTATAGCTGGAAAGGGCTTTGTGTCAAGTCACAGTGAGAACTTGACTTATGCTTTGAGTAAACTGGGAGCCATTTTTAACAGAAGAGTGTACAGATAGGACATTTTAACAGCTGAGGTGTTGAGAATAGATGATAGTAACAAGGTGCAGAAGCAGGGAAATCTATTAGCATTATTGCAACAACAAAGGCTAAAAACGATGGCAGCGTGGACAGGAGGTGGCAGTGAAGGTGGTAGAACTGCAAGGTTAAATGTGAAGTGTGTGGAGCCACAGGTATTTGTGGCTTTCACAGTTGGATAAGTAATTGCCATTAACTGAGTTGGGAAAGACTATAGTAAGAGTTATTATTATTATCCCAATTTTATATATGAAGAAACATAGACATAGAAAAGTTAATTTGACCGAAATCACACAGAGTGGTAAGTAGAGCAAGGATTCAAACACACAGAAGCTAACTCTAAAAACAGCCTTAGTATTAATTTGCTTCCTATCATATTTGCCTCATTTTCCTGGAGCCATTTTTTTTTTCAGCTTATTTAGAGAAAAAGCAAGTATTTTCATCTTAAGTGTTAAGTTGAAAATAATAATTTCAAAATATTATTTGCCAGCTTATAGCCATGGTGTCCTAAGCTTCCCTACTCCTGTAAAATTCTCTCTTCCTGTTTCTATGGCTCTGGTGGAATTATTTGAGAAATATTCTCAATTTTGTATGGGTATTAAGTAATGTCATATTCATTTCAAACAACAGAAAAACAATCACATCAAACATGAAACCTTTGCTTTCTTTGGTTCCCTATGTCTACTCCTCCCTTATTCTTTTCCTTTTTTCTGGCTTGTACTCTGATTGACTGAAAACCTTTGCTCAGACTGAGGTTATCATGTTAAGTGTAAGAGAATTCAATAAGTGCTCATGTGCTGATTGACAATTTGGAATCTAAATATTTATAAGCATCCTATTTGTCTTTTATGACTAGTTCCCCTGAGACCTCCTGAAATTAGTTTGACAAGTCGAAGTCCCACCGATATTCTCATCTCCTGGCTACCAATCCCAGCCAAATATCGACGGGGCCAAGTGGTGCTCTATCGTCTGTCCTTCCGCCTAAGTACTGAGAATTCCATCCAAGTTCTGGAGCTCCCAGGGACCACACACGAGTACCTTTTAGAAGGCCTGAAACCTGATAGTGTCTACCTGGTGAGGATTACTGCTGCCACCAGAGTGGGACTGGGGGAGTCATCAGTATGGACCTCACACAGGACACCCAAAGCTACAAGTGTGAAAGGTAAATCTCTAAAAACTGTTGAGGAAGAATAGCACAGTATTTTCTCTTTTGAATAAAATTTTCTTAAGTTACATTCATACTTCAAAGTTTCATTTTAGAAATAAAAATATTCCATGGAACATAGACTTCATTGAAAAAAAAGTCAGACTTTTGATTGAATAGGCCCCTTTTGCATAGAACTCATATACTTTATTAATTCATGTAGCAAGTCCTTCATAGACAAATCAAACTGAATTTGAGTCCAAATCAAACTGAATTTGAATGAAAAGTCACATGCTAATGGAGACCTAATTAATATTATTACTATAAAAGTTATAAATAATCCTTTTAAAAGGAAGACAGTAAGATTAGAAAGTTCTAGACCTCTCCTTTTATTAATGTGGAATGTAATGTTAGTAACATTGGTTTTTGTTGTTGATTGATTAATAATCATGCCTATTCTGTCATCACAGAGGAATGTTGGATGGTCAAAACTGGAAAGTATTGGGGAAGGTGGAAAAACAGTGGGAAGCGGGGCATAATGAACTATGCTGGAAGACTATGGATTACTTGGTGATGGGTGCAATGTGAGGACATGCAACTGTGACCCAATGCCTCTGAGTCACATACAATGTTGTAAACCCATGTTTTTTCAATTAGAAAAAAAATTAAAAATATTTTCTCTTTGAAAAATTTTACAAATATAGATATTATTTTGTTTTTATTTATGTGCTTTAGTTTTGTAGGTAGTATTTAATATTTTAAACTCTCTCACATTTTAATATTATAAAAATTTTGAAAGTTAGATTTAAGGTAATTGTTGGAATTGAAATTTTTTGCAATGTTGGCTTACGACTGAGAGATCTACAATTCTGTGTTTTCATGTGAATTATAAGTAAAAATATGTACAATTCTGTTGAATTTTTCCAGCCCCAAAGTCTCCAGAGTTGCATTTGGAACCTCTCAACTGTACCACTATTTCTGTGAAGTGGCAGCAAGATTCTGAGGACACAGCAACCATTCAGGGGTACAAGCTTTACTACAAAGAAGAGGGGCAGCAGGAGAATGGGCCCATTTTTTTAGACACCAGTGATCTTCTTTATACTCTCAGTGGTTTAGGTGAGTGAACCTGAGCTATGCTTTTCCTTTTTATCTTCCTCTGAAAAGTTAATGAATTTAAAGCAGAACTTGATGGTAAAAAAGAGGAGAATTGACTACACAGCATCACGGTCACTGTATATCCTGCTATTTAAGTGACTAGCTTTTGACTTTCTATTGTGAGTAAACGAAAAATGTCAGATAAATGTGATCTCTTTCTATCTTTCCCCTACCTCTGGACATCTGCTTTTCTCTCTGGAGTTCACTTTGGTAGATTGAGATCCTGATCAATAGTGTGAGTATGTGATGAATGTAGACTAGGAATGCAAAATAGGAATATCAACAAATGATCAGATAATGCTCAGTGATAAGGCTTAACTCAGAAGTTGCCTGAGCATACTGTGTAGGTATATTATTTTCCATGTGTAAAATATATGTAAGAAATGCATAAAATAATGCTCTTATGTGTGATCTGTGCAACTCTACATACTTATTTTATGTAGCTCTAATCCAAATACACAAGAGGAAAAAATTCTTTGTGTTTGGGCTCATCAAAGTTCTTTCATACAGTTTTATTCCTTATTCATCCTGTCTTTGCAGAATGAAACAATCTCATGATGTATACATGTTTAGTAGAAAGTAAAAAAAAAAAAAAACTATAGTAAATACTTGACTATAAGCAGAAACATAGTTGAGATGTAAAATCCACCCTTAGCTGTTTGTTGCTCTGGAGTAGATTTTCACCCTTAAGTACAAAGCAGTAAGTTTAATTATGATTACCAGCCATATACCTACTGGATTATTATAGCACCTTCTGCATGTATTGAACTTCTACAAAGCACTTTGACGTTCTCTGTCACACCCTTTGAGGTGTGGGAAGGGAAGAGGTATAGTGGTCCAGCAGGGGCTGCTCCATTCCTTTCCGTGTCCTTATAGTAGTAGGGCTGTGAGAGCAGTCTTTGACTTGAGTTCCTGTGCAGTAAAAAGCAGTGGTGGAAATCTGTTTTTAGATGCAGGGACACAGATTCTAATCTTCTGGGTCTTTGCCATTGTTTTCCACAATCTAACTTGCTTTTAATCTTGTGTCATTTTTTATTTAACCTGTATTTGGTTAAATGACTCACTGTTGATCTTTGTCATACAACTTTATAGTGATGGGGAAAAGTTACATATGTTCCAGGGTCACCTTCCTTATACTGAGATGATATTAGCTCAATCTGCTGTCGCCATAGTGAGCAACAATTAACTCTAGCTATGAAGTCTCAATATGTCCCCTCTTTCCATATATATATAAATATTTACTCAAGAAAATTATTCAGTAACATGTAAGAGATTTGAAGCAACTATTGATGAAAAATCAAATACAGTACTTTTAGTTTCTTCACTGTTTAGAAAATATAATATGTAAAAGATCAAAAAATAGGTTTATAATATACTCTTCTTGAAAATACATTACAGAGAGCTTATTCTAAATAGAATAATAATTTATTAGCAGAAAACAAAATAATATTCTGCCTGGGAAAAATTTAGAGAAACATTTTATTAAAAAACCTTGGCAATTCAAATTAAGTTTTTAAAATTAAAAAAAAAGGTCTATAGATGCATTTATACATAAAGACGCCTATTGGTCTTTGTTGACTTTTTTCCTAACCTCTGAATAATAGTTTTCAATACTATAAACCTTTATTTTCTCCTATGTTTTAAAAATAAATTGCATATATTGCTACTTGTGTTTTTTTTTATGTTATAAAATCCTTTGCATATGCTATTTGGGATAATTCAGCTTAAAATCACTTTTAATGTGTGAATTAGGAAATTTTTTTGTTTCGTCAATTTGCCCTATTAAAATAGTTCCATATTTCCTGACTATGAATTAGACTGAATTGTTGGTCTAATCATAGTGTAGGACAACAGAGGATTCTGTCACAGCTGTAGGGCTTTCTTGTTGGACAGCAGGCTCTGTACCTCTGGAGTTGCAGAGTCATGGCCTGAGTGGCTAACTAGCAGGGGGTGGTATGTGGCTTCAAGCACTGTACAGCTGTTGACTAGATCACCTTTAAAATGCCTTTTAATCTTGAGAGCCTAAGGGTCTAGTCTTCCTTTTCTAGGAAGTCGCTGTTGGGGCTTAGCCAAGTTTATAGTAAGTGAATGGATTTAACCCACTAAGCAGGCAAGTGTTAATAGCTCTCACTCCTTTCCTTCTTACTTTTAGCCATTGGGAGGGCAGTCTGATCTGTTAACTGGACAACTGACCATCTGTGACCATTTTTAGGGAGAGCATCTGGCGGTTGCTGCCTGTTTAACAGAGAATGATGTGTCTGGAGGGCAGTAGGTTAACAGAACCCTATCTGTGTCTTGCATAGTGAATACTTGCTTTCACTGAGCTTTTGCACATTGAAGATACTCTAACTAGAACTAGATTTACTGAGTGAGCTTGGAAATGAAATTTAAATGCTTCTTTTTGCTGATTCAGTGTCAATTTGTTGCCTCAGAATTTCATTTTCATACTAATGCCCTTTCTGATGCCCTAATACACATCCTTTTGTTTCCACCTCTGGTAATTAAGTTTTTAATAGAAAAGATGTAATTGGGACATATTACTCTTGGTAATACATACAGTTCTTCATTTCTAAAAAAAAAAAATAGCTAAGTGAAATGTTTTTCAATTCATTTGACAAGCATTTTTAATTTTTCTAAGTTAGGCATTTTAGAACCAGATAAAAAGATGTGATAGATGTGACCCCTGCTTAAAATAGGAAGGATTAAGCTAAAAGATACTAAATAGACTGACTTGTCTAATTTCTCCCTAAATTTCTGATTAATTAAATTTAATTGTAGTAAGTGATGAAAGAGCTATTTTAGAACATTTTACTCTAAACCCTAAAAGATAATTCCTTGAGATGTAATATGTCTTTTTTTTTTTAAAGTATCTAGAAAAGATTCTTGTGTCTTCATTAGTATAATATAAAATATGCTGAGCAATGAAATTATTTTGATGTTGCTAGTATTTGTTCTAATTTAATGATTTTACAGTATACAGTTTGATTTTAATTAAAAGTGGCTTACTTTTGGGAGGGTTGGGGAATAGCATTAGTTTTGTGCTTAAATGTTTATGTGACTTGTTCTAAATTGTGGTCTGAAGTTTTGTTCAAGATTTTGCATTTTGCAGTGATTATTTTTGCTTAAATATTTTTTCTTGACACTTTCAATATATAGCTCAGTTTTGAGTAGAATTTAAAAATTTACTAAAAAAATTAATAGCATACTTTGTTCTGTGACTGAAATAATGTATTCCTCTGTTTTCATCTGTTTATTTCAGAAACTGACTTTGAGTTCTGAAGTTGAACTTTCTAATTGCAGAGGAATTTATCATAATCTGAGTGTCAGAAACTGTTCTTAATTGTTCAGTCTTTATATAATAAAATAAACATGGTGCTATTGTTAGTTTAGCATTTTGAAAACTAATAGTAAATAATTTTAGTTTCTCTTTATTCATAGAACCTGTGCTACTTAGTTTCACAGCCTGCATGATTAGTAAGCATGAGACTGAGCACCATTTGTAAAGATCCAAATTATTTAAAATCATTAGTAATGTCCATGGATCACTTGTACATTTTCAAAACTCCCAAAATTTTTTTGAGAAATCCAAAATTGGGACTCTCACTGATTCAAGGTGTAGGAGTCAAGAGTAACAATCCCTGATGAATAATGTAATGTTAAAGTCACTTAAAACAGTTTATATGGACGCATGATAAAATTAAGTCAGATTTCTGAGTGTTATTTTTTATCATAATAAAAGAGGATTTGATATGCGGTTATATATCTTAAGAAAGAAAATTGAAAACTGTCACTTTACAGCAGCCTTCACTATATTAAATTGGTATGATTAGAGGAATTTGTAATCTTTCCTTTTCTCCAGGCAGGAGAAGATTCTGTGGCGTAAAAGAGACTATTTGAGAAGGTACATTGTGAACCTTAATAACAGTTATGACTTTGTTTTGAAGAGAAGTAGAATCATTCAGTTTATGAAATATAGAAGTCATCTTTTAAGGCAACCGAAAAAGTCTTTTGAGAAACTGTCTTTCCTTACCCCTCTTACACAAGGAAGTCTTAGATAACTCTCAGAAAAATCTTTGAAAACATCCTAAAGTGTCTGGAAAATATAAAAAATAATTGATATTCAACTCAAATTTTGAAACCTTGGTATTTGAAAATCTCAAAAACCAATGTCTTAAAAAAAAATTCCTGTTACTAAATGCTGCTGCATTAAAATAAAAAAAAAAAAATTTACCTGCCAGTTATCTCTGTTTAAAGATAAAATGTTTGCAGATTGATGAAACTATAAGAACTACACAAAAGTTACAGTTATCATCCAGTTATCCTTCCTTGATTTCCTTTTCTTGAATGAAAGGTTATCTTCCATTCTAAAATATTTTTGATACTCTCTGGATGAATTTAGAGCTGCATTTCATTTGGAAAAATTTTAAAGTCTCAACTCTTCTGGGAATCCTCTTGTGACCCCAAATGGTGTCAGTCATTCCCATGGTACATAATTTACAATGCTCTGTTATAAGAAGCATGTGGCACTGACAGTTAAAAGAAATATATCAGTTAAATAAGTTTCATATCTGCTGCCTGACGTCAAGCTCCACAACTTATTAACAACTTAAATTCTGGTTGTTTGCCTAATCTTTTAGATAAGGATATAAATAATAATTGCTATTTTAGAATGTTAAGAGATTTAAATGAAATAATTACATAAAGTTAGCACAGTGCCTAACAAATTGTATCTCAATAAATGTAAACTGTTGTAGTTGTTTTTAAAGTTGTTTTCCTCCAGGTATAACCTGGAAAACTGATTTTGAAAAAGAGTGTGTGTGTGTGTGTGTGTGTGTGTGTGTGTGTGTTTTACCATGATCACTATATTTGGAAACCAGAGCTTCTTGAATTTTAATATGTGTATGGATTACCCAGGGATCTTATTAAAATGCAAATTTTAATTTAGTAGATCTGAGTGAAGC